TTGAGTGAAGTAAGGTCATTAATTTCTAGTTTTTTGTCCTATGCTTCTCCATAGAATTAAAAATTTGATTAAATGGAATGTCAAGCTTATTAATAGGACTAATTCTTTTAGTTGATATCAAAGGTCATCTGCTATTGCTGAACATGACTTTCTTTGATGAGAATGTTTTTACTCTGAAAGCTAGAAGTTAACTGACACAAAAAACTTCAGCATGTCATAGAGACATTTACACTTAACTATGAAACTCTTTCATTGACAGCTGAACAAATGTTCTTGACCCTTTGACACCAATGAATGTTCTTGACATTTTGGAGATTTTGAACTTTAAGAATATCAGTAATTTGGTATCAATTGACAGGATTTTGATGACATAGGATTATACCTGCTTACTTTTACCAATTAACCATTGACATCATTACCTGAACCTTCAAAACAAAGATTGCTTTTTAATGATATGTTATTTCTCTACTTGCTACCAGATTTCAGGTCAACTCTGAAAAATGAAAAATAGAAGTAGTAGTATCAAGTATTGATTGAAATGTAGTGCTAAAATGATACTCAAATTAATTATGGTATCTGCTCTGTTTAGATTTAGACCATGGATTAATTTTAATGATCTGTCAGACGTAATTAATCAAGAAAGATTACTTCTTATTGATTTATCCTTGGATCTAGAATAGGAGGTTCAAGGGGGAAGAATCATCTGTGTGGATGTTAGTACATTGGTTTCTATAAGGTTATTTTATCAATCATGAAGCATTTAATTACTTGCTCTTTACCAAATACTGTGCTAGAGATACAAAGAAATGGGAAAAACAGTTCCTGCCACAAGGAATTGACATTTTAATGGATATTATTTGTTTAATCCTGAGAAACATGAAGAAGATTTTCATTTTTGCAAGTCATTTTCTAGCTGGTAGATTAGGGAAGAAGTCTGTGAAACTGGACAAAAAGAACATCTGATAAAAGTGGACATGCTAATATTTTCCTAAGATAATTTTGGTTTTGTATAAAGGAGACAAGTTTTAATTCCATCACACCTTGCTACCTGAAGGACCTTTATTTTTCTTTTTTTTAAAATTTTATTAGTTTATTTTGATTTGTCAGCAATCACTTCCATATGCTTTTGAGTTTTAAATTTTTCTCCCCCTTCTTCCCCACCACTCTCCCCAAGACGGCATACAATCTGATATAGGCTATACATTTGCATTCCTATTAAACATATTTTCACATTAGTGAAGTTGTAAGTAAAAATTAAAACCAATGGGAGGAACCATCAGAAAGAGGAAACAAAACTCAACAGAAGAGAAAAAAAAATGATAGCGATTCAACTTCCATAGTTCTTTCTTTGGATGTGGATAGCATTTTCCATCACGAGGCCTCTGGAGATGTCTTAGATCCTTGTAATGCTGGGAAGGGTTAAGTTTATCAATATTAGTCATCGCACAACGTGGCTGTTATTGTGTACAATGTTCTCTTGGTTCTGCTCACTTCACTCGGCATTAGACCATACAAGTCTTTCCAGGTTTTTCTGAAGTCATCCTGTTCATCATTTCTTATAGCACAATAGGATTCCATTACATTCATATACCACAGCTTGCTCAGCCATTCCCCAATTGATGGGCATCCTCTCAATTTCCAATTCTTTGCCACCACAAAAAGAACTGCTATGAATATTTTTGTACATGTGGGTCCTTTTCCCATCTGTATGATCTCTTTGGTATATAGCCCTAGAAGTGTTATTGCTGGGTCAAAGGGTATGCACATTTTTATAGCCCTTTGGGCATACTTCCGAATTGTTCTGCAAAATGGTTGGATCATTTCACAACTCCACCAACAATGCATTAGTGTTCCAGTTTTCCCATATCTTCTCTAACATTTATCATTTTCCTGTTTTGTCATGTTGGCCAATCTGATAGGTGTGATGTGGTACCTCAGAGTTGTTTTGATTTGCATTTCTCTAATCAATAGTGATTTAGAGCATATTTTCATATGACTATAGATGGCTTTAATTTCTTCATCTGAGAACTGTCTGTGCATATCCGTTGACCATTTATCAATTGGAGAATGGCTTGTATTCATATAAATTTGTCTTAATTCTCTATATATTTTAGAAATGAGGGCCTTATCAGAGAGACTGGTTGTAAAAATCTTTCCTAGTTTTCTACCTTCCTTCTAATCTTGGTTGCATTGGCTTTGTTTGTGCAAAAACTTTTCAATTTAATGTAATCAAAATTATCCATTTTGCTTTTCATAATGTTCTCTATCTCCTGTTTGGTCATGAATTCTTCTGTTCTCCATAGATCTGATAGGTAAACTATTACCTGAAGGACCTTTAGACAAAGAATATAATAGGATGCATTTGAAACCGTACTGCTATTAAAAATGGAGACTTTGGACCCCAAGATTGCCCCAGCCTTCTCCTGTGTTGAAGAATTTGCTTTTTACAAGCTTTATATCTTTACCTAAGTAGCTTCTGGAGAGTCAGGACTGACACCAGCTCGATCCCAGTCCTCTTTCCTTTAGTTCTGGTGCAGTCCCCTGCCCCAGTTCTATTCCATTCTTTAGTTCCTTGCCTTTGATGAGTAAACAAACATTTGCCACCTTTTTGCAGAGTTGTGAGAGGGTGGTAGGGCCTTTGTAGCATTTTTTTGTTGATCATTTTTTCAGTAGTGTCTGGTTTTCTTGGCAAAGATACTGGAGTGGTTTCCCATTTTCTTCTTTGGATCATTTTACAGATGAGGAAAATGAAACAAACAGAGAGTTAAATGACTTATCCAGGGTCACCCAGCTAGTAAGTGGCTAGGCCAGATTTGAACTTAGGAAGAGGAGTCTTCCTGAGTCTAGGCCTGGTGCTCTATCCATTGTGTCAGCTAGCCTGGCTTTGTAGAGGTAGGGGGAGGGGTCAATTGATATGGACATTATTATGGTTTTTTGATATATTGATCAGTTTTGCTGAATTTTTTTTTTTAAGGATGGCTGTCAGGAGAGGGAAGAGTGGGTTTTAGGGGAAATTTAGGCAATATAAACACAAAAGAGATTAAAAACCTTTTTTTTTAATGGTGACTTTGCATAGCTCTTGTGAGTCAATAAATGTGACATTTTCTTGACTGCTGCATTTTTTGAAATGATGGCACTGCAGTCCTTAGTAGAAATGTTATAAATCTACCAGACATTTAGACACAGCTGGAAGTCATTGCTTAGGAATAGTATAGAGTTTGAATAAGATGAGTGTTACGGATAAAGACTGGCAGAGTTATAAGAGTTCCTTTGCATAGCGCTTGCCTGCCTATGTAATACCTACTTATAGACTTTGTTATAATTTCTTTTCAAAAATACCATTCTAATGTCGGCCATTTGTCTCTCATTAAATGTTATAAAATACAAACTATTTGAAAGCAAAATCTATTCCAAAATTATAAGAAGAAAGAGCCATGTTTAAAAAAATAATAGGTTAGAACTTATCACAGGCATTTTGCCAATAATAATTGTACATGTTTAAAAAGAAATAATATTTATGAGGTTGTTTCTTTCTAGGTGGGAAAAATATTTTTCTTCCTTGATGATTTTGTAATTCTGTTGGCTAAATCACAAATTTAGTAGAATAATTATTCTTTTACAGTGATTCCACATCTGGCTCTTTTATATGTAGCTCATGGCTTTTTAAGACTTCTAATTTGTGTATGAGAATTATTATGTTATACCAGACTCTACAATACACACAATACACGTGGTTCCTTTGCATGATAACAAATGCAGATGTAGTTCCAGAATCACTTAACTATGAATAGCTTAACCATCCAGAAACACTTAACTGTGTATATCACTGTTCTTTTGTGAAATTAACACTAAACCAGCTTTCTTTGTCTATTATTGAAAATCTAGTGATCAGGATTATTATGTTGTGAAAGAAAGCCATCATCATATAGCCAAGAATTCCTAGGATATTGTAAAAATCTTTGTTGTTCATTTTTTCAAATGTTAAAAAAATTTCTAAAATTAAAGATTAAGGTAGCCATTACAGATATATTCCATTTCTCTCCCCTCAGAGTAAACCATATCACTTCTTTGTACTTTGTGAGCCAGATGAAATTAAGTTGATGCATAAGAAAGGAAACAAACATACTCTATAGAAAGTAGAAAATTAATTTAACATGTTGAAGAATTAATTATTGCTTTTCAGCTTTCCTCTTTCTATGAAATTGCTGTTAAGTTTAAAATATGGAATTGGACTTAATTTCAAAATGTTTTTCAGTTGCTATAAAGTAGATTAACATTTGATTTAATGCTGAAAAAAAAAGGTTAAAATCACCTTTGCCTTAAGAGATTTGGGTTCAGAGAAGAACTATTGGACACTAATTTGCTAGTTAGGGTGTTTCCTACTTTAAATAAACATAGTCTGATGCTTAAAGCAAAATGTATGTGCCCTGATCTCTTTTTAATTTAGTTCAGTATTGCTAAGGGACTTCACAGAAAATTCTGAAAGGCAGATGGATAGCAGACCCTGGAAAGCCTAGCAATGTTGGATGTTGTTAATAGCTGGAAGCAACCCTATATATTTAAACTGTCAGTGAGATCAGTTATCAATGTCTAATGCCAATAGAGTATATGATCCTTGAAATAGATAACTGCTTTATTTTTATCTTTGTGTCTCTAGCATCCAGTGCAGTGCAGTTGTCGTAATATATATGTCATGATTTAGATTGAATTATTCCAGGAAAATCATTGATGTTCTTGTTGGTAAACCTGAGTCATCAGAAAAAGTTATAATATTTTTGTTGTTCAGTCGGTTTTTAGTTGTGTCTGACTCTCCATGACCTCATTTGGGGTTTTCTTGTCAAGATGCAGGAGTGGTTTGCCATTTTCTTCTCCAGCTCACTTTACAGATGAGGAAACTGAGGCAAGCAAGGTTTAGTGACTTGCCCAGGGTCACACAGCTGATAAGTGTCTGAGGTCATATTTGAACTCAGAAAGATAAGTCTTCTTGACTCCAGGCCTGACATTCTTTCTCTAAACCATCTGTTGAGGCAATTATCCTTTTATTGATGGAGAAACTGAGGGTCAGGGAGGTTAAGTATCTTACACTGGACATATAGCCAGGAAGTGATTTAACTCAGACTCAGAAGTAGATTTCAGGCAGTTTTCTTTCCATTTCACCACACTGTGATGCCTCTGCCTCAAGCCCAGTTTCAGGATTGTACCTTCTAAGAGGTTACTCTAACAGAAGACTCTTTGGAGGTAAGCTCGGGAGCTGCGGTGACGGGCCATTGGGGGTTGTGTCTCCCCAGTGCCACACCATTGCCACTGATGTGGGTTCTGGTTGCCACAGGATTTAAGTTGGCTCTGATTTAAAAAAAACAAAATGTTAGACCAGAATTTCCAGGCAATAGAGGCATAGGTTTCTTTGAAAAGAAATACTTTTCAAGGCATAAGAGTCAACATTCCCAATATTCCCCTCTTGGAACTTATGTAGCTGAGCACTATACATTACCCCAAAACTATGGAATCTGTCAGGCCTGTTCATGTGCAGAATATGCTCTTGAAAATGAGCTAAAAACCTACAGGCAGTATTCCTAGTGCAGGAGACCAAGAGTCAGTAGCTTATACCTTGAAGGGTTACTCTTTTAGTGTCCTCCTTTTTCTCCTTTTCAGTTCTCTTTTTATATGTTGTCTTTCCTCCATTAGAATCTAAGTTCCTTGAGTGCTAGAATTGTCTTTTTGTTTGTATTTGTATTTCTCCACCCACCCACCCTTTTCCCCTCCCCTTGGCACAGTGTCTAGCACTTAGGGTTTAATAAATGTTTTCCTCCCTCCTTTCCTTCCTTCCTTCACTCCCTCCCTCCCTTTTTTCCTCACTCCTCCTCTCCCATTATACTATTTTATAAAGCAGGAGAATGTATTGATACATTTTGAGATATTTTCTGAAGAACATGTTTAAACTCAAAGAATCCTTGAGGTATAAAAGGGCAAGTGTTAATACTTAGGAAAATTCACTTATGTGAATAGCTCTTTTCAAGACAACGTTGAATGAATTTAGGTATTGTTTAATTTGAATTCTGTATTGTACCAAATGTTACAAATGTCAATTAAGACCCAATATTTGCCGAGATTGGCCTTCTTGGGTTATAAAACACTGACTTTCATAGTTTCCAGGAAAGATATCTTGAAAAAAAATTCAGCATATATCTCTGAGCTCACAAAACATATTTCAGACAAATAAAAATTCTTTCTTTTCCTTAGAATCACGACCATTGTCAGTACCAGTGAAAGCCATGATGAGTACAACTGAAACCTGCAAAAGTCCTGAGGAAAGAATGAAAGAATTTATTGGGATGGTATGGAATGCAGTTAAGAGGCTTACACTACAGGTAAAATAAAAGGGAGGGGTAAACGTCATGTATCTTCTATTTTTATGCCATTTTTTTCTACATTTGGAGAAGTAGTGTTATGGAGTCAATAAGGAAGTTAGACTCAAATCCAGGAAGCTCTGGACTTGAGTTCTGCCTCTTGACACATAGTGGCTCTGTGTGATTCTGCACAAGACACCTCACTTCTCAGTGTTCAAGGCACTCTCAATTTCAGCAAATGTGTTGATTTTCATTGATATAGGGAGATTCCTCACCTAGGAGTTCTCTATAATAATGGAATCATAGGTATAGGCCTTATCCTTACCCTTTTCTGGATTTTAACACTTGTAATTTCTGTTTCAAAAATTCTCTTCTCTTATTTGCATGAATACATTGTTTCTCTAGTTTAGTTTGAGAATGATAATTTGATTTTTTGTGAATGGGACTCTCTTGCAAACTTGACATAAACATTTATTTTTAAATATCAGTTTTTTCTATATACTTATATTTTATGTTTATTATAAATAAAATAACAGAATCATAAAATCAGTTTTGTTATTGTTCAGTCATATGCGACTCTTCATAACCTGATGGACCATAGCACTCCAGGCCCTTCTGTCTTCTCAAAGTCGACAGACAATAACTTCGCGTTCCTTGTATCTGTGACACTATATATCTGTCTCATCCTCTGCTGTTCCCTTTTCCTTTTGCTTTCAGTCTTTCCCAACAACATGGTCTTTTCCAGTGAGTTCTGTGTTCTCAATAGGTAGCCAAAGTATTTAAGCTTTAGCTTCAGTAATTGGTTCTGTTGGTTGACTCTTACATACTTGCATCATATTATGAAGGCTCAAATGTATTTCAACATTAACTGATGAAATAAAGATTTAATATTGTGTGCATATCTTCACATGCCATTATTATAGAAATTTGTCTTAAAAGGAACAATGTTCTTCTAACTTCTTGTCCATTCCAGGCAAGAATCATATAGGCAGACAATTTTATTGACAGAATGTCACATCCAGGCTTAGAATTTTAGTCAGATGGGAATACTTTGCATTCAGTAGGAAATGTCACTTCAGGGAAATCAAGTCAGGAAGGTCCTGACTCTTTGGCTCATGCCAAAAGTTGCTTCTCCTAGTTTTCCCTGAGACAAAACTCTACCTGCAGTTCACTGATGTCATCTCATAGGGCTGCTGGCCTTATGGATGATTGACTTCGTATCATTTCTGGACAATCCTATCTGGAATCAGACTCAGAATAATATCAATTATCGTCCCATAAGATTTTACCTTAAATAACAAGTTTCACTAATTATGCTTGAGGCTAAGTTATTGTTAATCTGCTCCTGATGTTGCAATAATAAAGTTTACCAGGCCTTTAATACTCAGTATCCCTTTCTTCCTTTTGTCTTCTTCTCCAAGATTCTAAACAAATCTTGGTGTAAACATCTACCATTAGAAAGCTAGAAAATAATTATATTCTAGATTTCCTCATAGATAGTTAATGTATGATAGTTTACTCATACTCCTAGAAAATCAACACTGGCCAGTTGCTATAAACCTCCAGACTAACAAATGGTCATCTCTTATCGTACATTAACTCTTACAACAAAATAAAATTTTTAAGACTGCTATCCATTGAGACTAAGTTGATTAAAGATGAAATGTCAGTATCAACCATTCCAAGGATAACTTCATAATTCACAATACATAGTTCTATGCTATAAACAAATTCCTAATTACTTCACCCCTCTTGTCAAGGAGTATTTGCAATGAAACAAAGCACTCTGTGAGATCTTAGATGGAAGATCATGAGCAACCAGGCGTATGAAAGAAAACTTCATGGGGATATAGCATTTGAGTTGGACATTAAAGGATGGTAGGAGTTAAACAGATGAGAAAGTGAATGGCAGTTAATTCTTGTTTCATACCACAAAATGGTTATCTAAAAATATTAGGGAAGCATTTATAGTGTCTTCTTCCCATTTATACTGTCTTCTTCCTGAATGCATAAGGAAAAGATGTCAGGAAAACTACCAGGCCAAGCAGAATAATGTTGTGTTCATAGTCTAAATTATAATGTTGAGTATTATTTACTAAACAATAAAATCACATGCTGTTATGTTGGATAATGTATAGAGCAGACCAAATGGAAACGATTCCTCTTTTTATCAGCTTCTCATTTGAAAAGGATTAGCAAAGAAAAACATACATGATGATTATGATAAAAGTAAAAACTATCTGATTCTAGGGAAGTTACGTATGGTTTGTGTTCTCTTTTAATATATATCAACAATGTAGGAGACTTAACCTTCACAGCAGGGATCTGTGACTATCTGCTGTAAGAAAGTATTGTACCACCTTATAAAATGCTCATAAAAGAACCAGGCCACCTTACTGTCTTCGCAGAGAGTTCTTTGTTGCTGAAATTAAATACCAAGTAGTCAGTGTCATAGAAAGACGCAGGATGTGCTTAAAAGAATTTTTTTTGGAGGGAATATACTGTCATTCTTTTATAAAAGGATACTTTTCCTTTGTACTTATATTTTCCTTTATTAGTCATAATTCAAATTTAATATATTACTTCATTTTTTTAAGCTGAAAAATAGTTCCTCGGTAGTTCTGAAAAGAGTATTAGGCTTTAGTTGTTTGTGTAGGTTTTGGGAACAAGTTGCAATAAAAAAAAAGTAGTAGGCCTGTGAACAATTAGAAGTTGTCTAGGGAAAGCCATTGAAATTAAGTGAGAGGAGAATTCATAAGGCACTGGAGAGTGGCTTGTGGACCTAAGTGTAAACATGGCTCTTGAATGGACTAGTTTTGGATACGTGGAGATAATAGCATTTGGATACATTTTAGGATACCATTGCAAAGGAAAGATAATCTCTTGGACAGCTAGTAATTTCTTCCATTTAATGTTTGGTTGAGGAACTTACTGTGTCTCCATTGACTCTTGAGATATAAAAGTGTTACTGTTCGCTACTTTATTTTTAGGGATTTCATCATCTGCCAAGGATTCATTTCCTTTCTCTGTGCAGATTATCCCAAATCTGTGTATCCAGTCTCTTTACTGAGCTCTAGGTTTGTATTACCAGCTACCTTTTGGACATTTCCAACTAGATGTCCTGTAAACATGTCAGAATCAACATGTCCACAATGGAATTGTTTTTCCCTCCAAATCTATACCTCTTCATTTCCCTTGTTCTTTTGAAGTTACCAACATTTTTCCAGTCAAACAATCTCAAAGTATTCCTGACTCTTTCTTTTCTGTAACCCTATATTTGTCATTACTTGCTAGTTCTTCCTTCACAATATCTTTTGAGTCTGTCCCGTTTTCTGCACTCAGATGTTCATTCTGCAGTTTTTGGTGTTGTCTACCCCTCAAAAAACTTTAACTTTGTATTTTCTGCACATATATATTTACCTTGTTTCCCCACCTCCACGGTGCAAGCTTCTTGAGGGATATGCCCAATTAGCAGTTTCAATTTGTCTTTGTATTCACAACTCCTAGCATAATATCTGGCTTATGGTAGATGTCCAATAAATGCCTGTTGAATTAATTCCACAAATATTTAGTGTGAAAGTATATATTAAATATTACAGAGATATAATACAGGGTTTAGTAATAATAACACAGTGCTAAATATGAGGCATATGAACATTGATTTATTGGATATATACTCAGTGAATTAGGTACAGTCTTAGGTACTGAGGGAGATGCAAATATATATGTGTATAAAGTGCATGTATATGTACATTTACATATATGTGTATCTATTTGTATATATGTATGTGTACATATTTGTAAAATGTAAGGTCATTACACTCAATAAGTTAACAATAACTAGGGGAAAATAAGTACAATATAATGTAAACTAAGTCTATAAAAGTATTATTGTAATCAAAAGGATTACGTACTGTGCAGTTTTTATTTAGGTTCGGATCTCAAGATATAATGACACGTACTCAGTGGAAACTTAACAAATAATCACATTTATTTTACAATGATTAATAATGATTAAAAACCACACAAGCAGTAAAGGTAAGAATAACATTCAATGCAATAAGTAATAATCAACATAAAGGAAAGTAGGAATAAGAAAAGAAAGGATACACACTCACTGACCAGGCGAGCTCAAATACCAGGGAGACTGGAGGACGGCCAAAACGTCTGGTCAGGGAGGCAAGGGGGAGCTTCTCACCCCGGGACACAATGAAGGCCGTGCACATGGTCCACCTCTGGCAGAGAGTTGGTGTCCCTATCTCTCCATCAAAGTACTCCAAAATCTCCCTTTTAAATGACCCTGTTTATAATTATGTAAACCAGGGAAAGAGAATCTTAGCGTTTTGTTTTGTGTACGTCTCCTTGGTGAGCTCATGTCAAGGGGCACACACATCTCTAACAAAAGTTGGGGCTTGATCAGAGCCCCAAATACCTGTTTGTTGTGTAAGTCTCCAAGGAGTGATCAATTCCTTGGACAGTTACACACTTTTCTCAAGAAAAATGTTCCTTGAGATAAGTTGCTTTCCTAGGTAACATGGCTTGTGGTTATTTAATGTTTTGTCTCCATGGTCACCTCTGGCCATGCATGGTATCTCCCATCTATCTTTATGTTGGGTCATGAGGCATATTATATTATATTATACTGTGAGGTCATGAGATGGTTCCACAGGGAGCTGGGGAGGATCTATCCTCCTCAGTTTCCCTTACAATTATGGAAAAACAAACATACCAGGAAGAATAGGAAGAACAATGGACTTGAAATCAAAAGACCTGGTTTTAAATTCCAGGTTTGGCCCTTAACTAGCATTTATCCTCTCAGGGTCTCAGCTTTCTCAATTGTGTAAGTAGGGAATTGGACAAGATGATTTCCAAGGCCCTTTCTAGCTTTGACCTTCTCTTATTCAGAGATCACTTCTACCTGAGCAGAAAAGGTAGCATGAGATTGATATAAAAGGATAGGATATAAACAGGTAGAATTTGGAGATGGCAGAAAGAGGGCATTCCAGGTACATGGAAAAGTATAAGTAAAGGTACAGTGTAACAGAGAAGCAGTATGGCATAGGTCAGCTACTGAGTGTGGAAAACTTGGTTTTTAATCTTTCCTCCTGTACATGCTAATGTCACAATTACCCAGTGCTCCAGGAAGCTTTCTAAGAACATGAGTTATAGATGGAGTTGCAGATATTTATGTGTAGAATGTAAATTCCACCTAAGGGATTCCTAATGCTAATGAAATTATAGGGTTCCCAAACCTCTACAAAAAAAAAAAAGAAAAAGAAAATGCCATTGTCATGGAATTTATCCAGGGAATAACAAGTAATTTCATTTGGCCAAGAATATTTTGAGTTATGGTTGAAAAGATTTTTGATAGCCAGATTTTGGAGGACATTAAATGTCAAAGTAAGGACTCTGGGCCTGATTTAGGACAAAATATTGAATATAATGCAGTATTAGAATGACACAATCAGATCTATGGATTAGGAAAATGAATTTGCCAATATTCTTCATGACCCCGTTTGGAGTTTTCTTGGCAAAGATACTGGAGTGATTTGCCATTTCTTTTTCCAGCTCATTTTACAGATTGAAGAACTGAGGCAAACAAGGTTAAATGACTTATCCAGGGTTATGCAGCTAGTAAGAATCTGAGGCCAGATTTGAACTCAGGAAGATGAGTTTTCCTGATTCCAAGCCCAGTGCTCTCTCCACTGTGCCACCTCGCTGCCCTGTGTGTTGGAGTGGGGAATGGGAAAGAGTCAAGTGCAGAGCCCTGTTAAGAGACAATGAATAAGAGTCACCAGAAAATATTAATTGACTAGATATGAGAAGAAGCAAAGGAAAGGGAAGGAAGGCCTTAAAGATGAATAGGAAATCACACTACGGAGGGTGTATGAAAGAATGGTTTGGCTTTTGGCAATGATAGGGAAGTCGCGAAGTGGAATAGATTTAAGATAATAAATGCTATTCTAGGCGGGCTGAACAAGTAGTACCAATAGGATACCTAGACAGGGATATCTATCGGGGATTTAGAAAGTCATTTGAAGCATCATCTTACACTTTTGTAGAATGTTGAAGGCTATATTTTAAATATATTTCTAAGTTCCTCTCTACCCCAGATACTTGAAACCAGGGTGAGCATAGCAGATTCATTATACATTTGCTCAGTTAAGAAGGATATTCTTTTATGTTTGTGCCATGTCTGATTCATCCTCTAGAATGTTCACTCTCCTATGCATTTTCCAAATTGTTTCCCCTTATTTTTCCCCATCATTTTGTTCCTTCATTGGACTACTGCAGTAGACTTCCTATTGATTTCACTTACTTATGTCTTTCCCTATTCCAGTCCATCTTCCATTCAGCTGCCAAGGTTAGATGATGGTGATGATGATGATGGTGATGATTTGAATTAATTTATTTATTTTTAGTTTTCAACATTCACTTCCATAAACTTTTGAGTTTTAAATTTTCTCTGCCTCCCTCACCTCACCCCTCCCCGAGACGGCATGCAATCTGATATAGGCTCTACATATACATTCTTATTAAACATGTTTTCACATTTGTCATATTGTAAAGAATTAGAACAAATGGGAAGAAGCACAAGATAGAAGAAACAAACAAAAAAAAAGAGAGCAAATGGTATGCTTCTATCTGCATTCAGACTCCATATTTCTTTCTCTGTACGTGGATAGCATCTTCTATCATGAATCTTTTGGTGATATCTTAGATCCTTGCATTGCCAAGAAGAGCTAAGTCTGTCAAAGTAAGTCATCACACAACGTGGCTGTTACTGTGTACAGTGTTCTCCTGGTTCTGCTCAGCAGATGAGTTTATTTTTAAGCACAGATCTGACCATGTCACCTTCTTATTCGAGGAGTTCCAGCTTCCTGTTTCCTCAGGGATCGAATAGAAAGTACTCAAGGGGCAGCTAGGTGGCGAAGTGGATAGAATACCAGCCCTGAAGTCAGGAGGACCTGAGTTCAAATCCGGCCTCCGACCAAATACTTGACACTTACTAGCTGTGTGACCCTGGGCAAGTCACTTAACCCCAACTGCCTTAAAAAAAAAAGTCCTCAGTTTGGCATTTCAAGTCTTCATAATCTTGCCTGCATTTTCAGCCTTCTGAGCACTTTGTATCCCCTCTTCATATATGCTTCAATCAAGTTACTTTGGCTTACTTTCAGTTCCTCAGACCTGAGTCTCTATCTCCCATCTCTGTGCTTTTGTACAGCCTGTTTCCATACATGGAATAGTGTCCCCTCATTTCCACCTCCTAGTTTCTCATGTTTCCTTTAAGACTTAGCTCAAGGCTCAGATTCTTACAATCTAGCCAATAGCTCACTAATGTTCAGACTCCTTAAGAGTCTGCCCAGTATGACAAATGTTCTAATAAACCTTATCTTTGGCTGAAAGAAGACTTGGGTTGAATTCTTTTAGATAGATAGGACCCGTGTGTTGTGATCTTAGGGTCCCAGCACCCCCAAGCCTCTAGATCTTATAATATGGTTCCCTGCACTGGGGAAAACTGCCTAATACCAGGCTCTTCACCAGCCAAGACTGGAAGATTTGTGTCTCCCAGACTACAGGCCATTCACCTACAGTTGGTAACAAACAGGAGGTACCAGCCAATGTCTGAGCGCACCCCCCCCATCCCCCCATTGTTTTCTGGATGCACCCTGTGCTTGGTTTGAGTCAGTCTCCTCTTTCGGACCCCTTCAAGGCAGGGATAGCTGTATGCCCCTTGCCATCAGGAGGCAGTTTCGGAAGCCAAGACCTTTGCCCTTTACCCCAAAAGAATTTAGGTCCCATTTGTTTGAGTTGGGGAATGATGAGGATGGGAGCTAGACCCCCCAAAAAGGAAGAACCCTGGACTTTCCCACATGGCCAAATCTCTGGCATTTGCCTGAGGCTATAATCCCATCAACTGGCCTTTCCTTGTGGCTACACCCAATCTCCCCATTCTCTGTTACCCTTAACCTAGTCTAGCCCTCCATTGTTTTACTGCCCTATGGCCCCCAGCCATTTCCCAACCTTAATCCTAGCTAGGCTCCATTCTCCCTGGGCCACCTGGTCCAGGTCCCAGGAGTTCTGTTCACCTCAGTTTACTGGCCACTCCCATCCAGTCACCCAAACTACTTGACCACTCTTAGATCCCTCCCACAGTCTTTCTGTATATAAGTTCCATCTTGTCTCCATTAAGGTGCTCAGATTCTTAAATTCTAGCCACATGCTCACATTCTTATAATCTAGCCACTGTTCAAATTCTTGTATTGGCTAGATAGCCAATAGCTCACTAATGTTCGGACTGCTTAAGAGTCTGCCCAATATGATGAATGTTCTAATAAACCTTATTTTTGGCTGGGAAAAAAAAAAGACAACTCAGCTCAAATCTTATTTTCTGCAGCAGGCTTTTACCAGTCCCCTAGCTGTTAATTTCAGATTGCCTTCATCTACTCTGCATATATCATCTAGATATCTTTATTTATGTGCTGGGAGGAGGAGACCCATTAGAACATTTTCTCCTTGAGAGCAGGAACTATTTCTTCCCCCCTTTTTTTTATCCCCAGAATTTAGCAATGTCTGGAACATGGTAAGTCCTTAGTAAATGCTTGTTAACTAACTTCCTGTTTGATTTTCAAGCAACCAGTTCCCATCCCTTTCTTCCCCTGCCCATATCCGATATGTTCTTATTGAATTTTCCCATCCTGCTCTATCAAGAACACTTAAGCAGTGTGATTGAAAGGTTTTACATTATGGAAATACTATTATTAATTCACTTACATTATTGCTAGAATTAGCGCTATAGGTAGGTAGAAGAATTGGTTCTGTTCAATCAATTTTCTTCTACAAGTTAAAATATTGTACTTCTGAAAAGACCTTGTTAAAATACAAATTGAAAGAGGGGTAAACACATTAATCAGCTTAACAGAATTATTGAGGATATGACATACAAGACCTATAGGTCTGAATTTGTGGACAAGGAAACATACATTACTACCTGGTCACTACCTGGTCACTACCTGGAGAACAAAATGCTAACGAACCTAGAAATTACCATGTTTATCCTAGATATTTTTGGGGTGTAGGATTTGAAAAATGAAAAGAGAGGAGGAAGAAAAGGCTGTCAAATATTAGCGTACCTAAAAATGTTGCTTAGGGAAGATTTTATTTCAGAATGAATTAAAGAAATATCTTGGTTGTTTTTTTTTAACCTTGAATTCGCTACTATATCTTTTAATTTTAAAAGCTAAATAGGTTTATTTTAAGATGTTTAACAATATTTAAAGTTACTTCGAGGAGTAACAGAGAAGCAATATGGCATAACAAAAATTGTTCAGC